AATGCTCCGCTTTTGGAATACGTTTTTTGCCCTATTTTCTGAGATCCTCCGGTTTCATATCCCGAGAGATCCGCAATACTTACTCTTGAACAAACCGGTCCCAGGTATTTCAAGAGCACAGGGCAAACTCTTGTTCTTTTTTTCTTTAGCAGCAAAGATCTCAATTGCTCGGTCCTGGAAATCAGAAAGGGTACCATTCTCTATGGTTCTATCCAAACGAAACTGGATTATGATCCATGAGAAGCTTTATAGTATATTGCAAGATAGATACACCAGCTTTGAAGAAGTCTGGAAACCATGGCTGATGCATCAAGGGATTTCAAATTTGTCGGGCATCCTGCCCAATTCCCCGGTTTAGTGAAGGCTTTAGATATCAGGAATTTATGAGTCTGAAATGTTTCTTTTTGCCTTACTCTCCTTTTTTTTTTTTTCTCCCCCTTTCATTTTTACTTTTTCTTCCTTGTCGTAATTAAATAGTGTCTCCATTTAACTTTCCCCCAGGTGGGAGTTGTGAACTACCCATCCAGAGGGATTTAGCATGCATAGATTAAGGGATATATAATGGCATTCACAACGGCATGAGAGAATAATCGAATATATATTTGTATCCCCTAATTCAAGGTTGCAGTACCTAGGGTATAAGAATAAGTATCAAGGGCTTCTGAAATGTTTGAACTCTATAGAGAAGTCAGGGCAGGGGAAGAAGTAATGTATCCCATGCTTTGTTGCTGTAGAAAGATTATCGATTGCTAGACAATGCCTATTATGACATATATGTTACATAATTTTATGACCATATTTCTGTGTGCGATTAAAAGTTTATAAGCATGGAAACCAATAAAAAACTTTGAAAACAGGTAGTTTAGTGAATATGCACTAAAATACCTACTATACGCAGCATTTCTTCATGATATATAATGATATGCTGTACCCATATTGTAACGGAATGAGACAAAATTCCGGAAGCTTACTTTTTTCCTTAAATCTTTCGATTTTTTATTATTTTATGTTCTATTATATGCTCCTATTTGTGTTTTTAATGTTCCTACTTTATATGTTGCTTGAGGCTGCTGCCTCAGCTCACTGAAGTTAACGTGCATGATGTAATGTACGTCTACGCTTTTCCCTTTTTTGAAAACAATAAAAAAAGATTGTGCAAGAAAGTGAGATCCATCCAAATTACAATCACTACCAAGAAAATGTGTTGAAAGCTTCTATATAAGTTACAGATTACGAGAAAATCTACTTTAGGAATATTACTGAAAATGAATGTGGAAAGTTATTCGTAAATCACAGAGTTGGGTCAACCCTCTGGGATGACTAACGGTGTTGGGGATAAAATCTGTCAAAGAACCACTCTCCAAATATTTAAATTCTCTATTAAGACCCCATTCTGATAAAAAGTCTCTCATGTATTTTAGATACATTAGATGTGATTAGCATGACAAATGTGCTAAGCTTCTATACCTGTATTCTCAAACCCATAGAGTGAAAACATTTTATCTTATATAATGTAATCTTTATAGATTGTATCTGCAAGGACATTGTATGTGTGTTGTTTCTCATTGATTTTAGTTTTCAGTATTTGATTAGGCAAGTGTTATTCAGGACAGCACTGAGAAGCTTGCTGGCTCTGACATATATGAACCTGCTCCTCACCCATTGGAAGGAAGCACAAATGTATATGGTTGATAAGCAGTTCTATATAAGATTGGAATATGGCCGAGATTTGTAAACAAGATTCAGATTATGTGGAAAAAGTTGTGAATTTCCTGAATCAATACGAGGTAAGCATGCAGTTTATCTAGTTCTTGGTAAAGTTATTGTTAGATTTAAAAAATGTTTATAGAAAACTGCTAACAAATAAATACGGTGCCAAATATTCTGTCTTGCTTTATGATAGCTATCATCTGGGTAATGTGAAGCCTACAATACCCGAGAGCTAATTCTTAAAGTGTAATAATATAAGTCTAAATTGTTTTGAGGAGTTCCAAAAAGGAGGTTGCTACGTAGCGGTTACAATAAAAAATGAATACACACCAATCAGCCATAACATTATGACCAACCGCCTAATATTGAGTAGGTCCCCCATTTGACAACAAAACAGCCCTGTCCCATGAAGGCATGGACTCCACTAGATCTCTGAAGGTATGCTGTGGTATCTGGCACCAAGCCATAAGTATCAGATCCTTTAAGTCCTGTATGTTGCGAGGTGGGCCTCCATGGATCGGTCTTGTTTTTACAGCACATCTCACAGATGCTCGACTGGAATGGGATCTAGGGAATTTAGAGGTCAACTCAACACCTTGAACTCATTGTTCTGTTCCTCAAATCATTCTTAAACCATTTGTGAAGTGTTGGAGGGTGTATTATCATGCTCAAAAAGACTATTGCCATCAAGGAATACCGTTTCCATGAAGGAATGTACCTGGTCAGCAACAATGTTTAGGAAGATGGTATGTGTGAAAGTAGCATCTACATGAATGGCAGGACCCAAGGTTTCCCAGCAGAACATTGAAGTGGGGTGGGGGCGGAGCCGCTGTGACAGAACGGACGAGCAGTGAGGGGAGAGAGAGGCGCCGGCTGTCAGAAGATGGTCGAGCGTCTCTCCTCACTGCTCTGCATTAGTTAGTGGCAGCGGCTCTGTCCTTCGCCCTCCCCCGCCGCCGGTTCCTTCACTTCTTCTCGGATCCCCGCTGGGGAGAGCAGCGGGGATCCAGAGAAGCGGCGGGAGGAGAGGACATGGCGATCTACCAGTGATCGCTACGCGATCGACTGGTAGATCGCGATCGACCTTATGGGCACCCCTGCCCTAGTGCATCCTGGTGTCATTTCTTACTCAGCTAAGTGACACACATGCACCCAGCCATCCAAATGATGTAACAGAAAATGTGATTCGTTAGACCTTTCTATCAGAACCAGTATTAACTTTTTCAGTAATTTGAGCTACAATAGCTCTTCTATTGGATCAGACTACACGGGCCAGCCTTCACTCCCCCATGTGCATCAATGAGCCTTAGCCGACCATGACCCTGTTGCCGGTTCACTGGTTTTCCTTCCTTTGACCACTTTTAGTAAATCCTGACCACTACAGACTGGGAACATACCACAAAAGCTGCAGTTTCAGAGTTGATCTGACCCTCCAGTTGTCTAGCCATCACAATTTGGCCCTTGTTACAGTCGCTGAAATTTTTACACGTCCATTTTTTCTGCTATGAGAACATAGACGTTTCTCTTATCTATCCACACTGGGGAAAAAATGTGGGGCTTTGGATATACTTTTAGTACATATTACCACATCAGAAAGCTGATACATACAACTGGCTGTACTACTGCTAAATTTTTCTTTTCAGATATACAATCACAGGGGTGTGGAATTCGTATCGCCCGACGCCCGGGACATGTAGTTCCGGGCGCCGGGGAAGTGGTTATAAAAATTAAAAAGCGATAAAAAAAAATAATAAAATTAAATTATAATTACATTTTTTTACAAAGTAAATAAAAATGTATACATGAAAACCAGCCCCACTGCCCCCATCATCTGCATGCGAATAAACGCGCAGTGTTTTTAACCGCGATCATGTGCAACCGCACAGGCAGGGTGGTATTGCGGCAGTAAACCGTGCAATCCGGTGTTGTGCCATCCGTGACTGCACGGTCATTGTGCACGAATCTGAGCGGATAACCGGGCAGTCACAGATCGCACACCACCGCCGATCGCGCTGGCAGTGCCATTATTTTCTATTGGCACCCCGGTCGTGCCAGGCAGATTGCACGGTTTACTGCCGCAATACCGCCCGGGCGGTCCCACGCAATCGCGGTTGAAAACACTGCGCGGTGCGTGTCGTGAAAAAAGGTACATGTACCTTTTTTCAGCGATTGCCATGCAGATGTAACCCCATACATGTGGACGCAACCGCTGTATGCAACCGCACATGATCGCGCGCCCCCCGGGATTGGCCAAGTCTGCACCAACCCTTAAAAACACTGCGGGTGCGTGTCGTGAAAAAAGGTACATGTACCTTTTTTCAGCGATTGCCATGCAGATGTAACCCCATACATGTGGACGCAACCGCTGTATGCAACCGCACATGATCGCGCGCCCCCCGGGATTGGCCAAGTCTGCACCAACCCTTAAGGGTAAATTCACTTTCCCAAGTAATTTTGGAAAATGGAATTACCCGCACAAATCTCCCTCCCACTATACTTACCTTTCGGCGAACAGTCCTTCCCGTCCACCAGTACGGGTGTACTATCTGTACCTGTTCCGTATATGGTGAATTTCGCTCGCAAATTGCAAGCACTCATTGGTCAACGCGGCCACCTGACGACGCTGACCCATGAGAAGCGCTTCTTAGCACTGCTAAATACGGTTTTGGTTAAAATTATTTTTTTGCATCAGGACAAGTAGATTGTTACGAGGGACAAGTAGATCGGGCCCCCACTTTAGTCCTTGGACAAGTAGTTTTTTCTAAAATTTCCACACCCCTGAATCATGATGACGGTGAGCACCTACCATCCACTGAAATACAGTCTGACTCACTTCCCAACTGAACTTAGTACAGCTACAGTAATGAACTGCAGTAGAGGTTCCTAAGTCACTATGGATCAGAATACCCTTACTCTTGTCTGTGAATATAATGTATTGCTGGGATTTGTAGTCCTCTATAGTTGGCGGTATTCTGCATTGCTGTATAATGCATTGTTGGAATTTGTAGTCCTCTATAGCTGATGGTATTCTGCATTGCTGTATAATCTATTCCTGGTATATGTAGTCCTCTATAGTTGGTGGTATTCTGCATTGCTGTATAATGTATTGCTGGGATTTGTAGTACTCTATAGTTGGTGGTATTCTGCATTGCTGTATAATGTATTGCTGGGATTTGTAGTACTCTATAGTTGGTGGTATTCTGCATTGCTGTATAATGTATTGATGGGATTTGTAGTCCTCTATAGCTGATGGTATTCTGCACTGCTGTATAATGTATTGATGGGATTAGTTCCTCTACAGGTTGGAGTCTGTGGCAGAACTACCAGGGTCATAATGGTCACAGCTGCAACTGGGCCCTGGTGCTCCACCACTGACTCCAAGCTGTAGAGACTGTTCCCTTGCAGTGTGCTGCGTGACATGTACCTTAGTAGCACACTGCAATGGAGCACTTCACTCATTAGCACAGTACAAATGTACATGTCACTCTGTAGTGCAGTTAAAACCTCTTGTATTGTATTTTTCTTCTAAGATTTAAGCACAAAATTAGTTCAGACAGCCGTATGAAGTGTTTTTCTAAAATAAATCATCAGTATTCGAGCCTAAGTTCAGGGTTGGCACTTTGAGACACATAAGTTGGTTTAGTGATTCAGTTTGGGCACTTTGGCTCAAAAAGGTTTGCCATCGCTGCTTTATACCATCTACATACCCAGAATCTGTAAATCAAAGCCCAACTCCGCACTTACCCTTGCCTTCTCCCTCTAAAAGGCCCACCACGCTGTATCATATACTTTATATATATTTCCTTCAGGCCGGCAGTACTGTGTTCATGCAGAGAGCAGAACTGATGCAATGGCATCAGAAATACTTCCAATACACTAGGAATAAAGGGTGTTGTAGTGCCGCTACCCTAGGGAATGTAGCTATGATGCTCTACATCAGGGGTAGCCAAACTCCGGCCCTTCAGCTGCGGTGAAACTACAAATCCCATGATGCACATTTTTAGATTGTAAGCTCTCACGGGCAGTGAGTACAGTGTTTTAGCAAGGGTGGGGGGGCTCTATAAGTAACCAGGCATTGCTTGTAGTGTAAGGTCCACTTAATGGGTATATTCACATGCCCACAGCGGGTCATACATGTGTGTTTATGCACCCAGGATTCACATGTGTACCATGTAGCTGCCGCCAGAAGTCTTTAAAAAGATAATAAATAAATGATGCAGTGGCTGTATGAATCATCCCGCACATTAGACCGATTACATCCACACAGGGATAGATGTCAGGCCATGGACTTAGACTATGTCCAGGGCAGTGCACCTGTCCCTGGACGGATGTAAAGCATGGATGTGCAGGAAGAGCCATACAGCTACTGCATGTCAGCTTGTCACTGAATTTTTACAGCTGTGGCTACACATGTGGCTCCCGGGTGTTTAACCTCTTCGTGACTGACGACGTACAGTGTACTTCGCCAGCATCAGGGCTGTTTAAACAGACTCCCGGTGACTTTTGCCGCCGGGACTCTGTTTAAACTTGTAGAGCCGACTGTCGGCTTTACCACAGAAGCGATCCTGGCGACTTACCTGTCCCGAAGAAGGGGCCGCCCCCCACTTCAATAGCTTATTTCCAGTGTAAAGGTGACACTGGGGGTCTTTTGGACCCCCAGCATCACCTTAAAGAGTACCTGTCACCACCATCTGCTATCACATGGGGGGGCTTGTAAGCCCC